CCCATTGGTGCTGGGTAACTTCCGCGGTGAACTGAGTACCCTGATCCGTGATTATCTCCCTGGGTAACACCATCCTGGAGAAAATCCGCATGAGGGCCTCGGCTACCGTTTCAGCGTGTATATTAGTCAGCGCCACCGCCTCTGAATATCTGGTAGCGTAGTCCACCACTGTCAAGATATATTTCTTGCCAGAGGGGCTAGGCTTCTTTAAAGGACCTACTATGTCCACCGCTATTCGGCTGAACGGTTCCCCGACTATGGGTAAGGGGTGTAACTTAGCTTTCCGGCGGTCTCCCTAAATGTCCGGATAGCGGAATATCATGCGATATTCGGAGCAACTCAGATCGGTACAGCTGTGGTACCACTGGCAGTCTAATAATAATTGGGTGTGACCCGTCTACCTTTTTCTCAGACTCCCTGTACAGTAACTTCTTATCCCATACAAATCTCTCCCCCTCCGCCTCGGGTTGGTCAGAGGCGACCTTAGCTCTATATACCTGTAACGGGGGGTCAGTGCTCAACTCTGCCTCAAATTCGCTAAGGGGAGCCCAGGGGACACACTCTAAGGAAGGGGAAGGATTTCTTACCTGAACCTCAGGGTGTGCGTTGTGGTCCTGGGTGCGGGCCTGGTGACGGGTGACAACTGGGTGTGTTTCTCCAGTGGCGGGGATCTGGGGCTCAAAAGCAGATGTGAGCTTCCCCAGATCGTTCCCCAACAAAACCTCTGCCTGTAACTGCGGCATTAATCCCACCTCCACCTGTCCCGACCCCGCTCCCCAATTCAAATGTACCCTTGCTGTGGGTAGTCGGTATACTGCTCCTCCGGCTACCCTCACGGCCACGGTTCTGTTGGTCCTGGCTCCATCACGGACAATGTGACTCTTGACTAAAGTTATGGTGGCTCCCGAAGCGGAGCTCTTGTACTGCTTTCCCCTTCAGATGGACGACCTGCTGATGGTGTTGACGGTTATCCGCATCTGCCTGGAGTGGATCAGCCTCATGTAGTACTTCCCATTGTTCAACTACTGGGGTGGGTACGGAGGCGACATATGGTGCTGGTGTCTCGGTCTGATAGTAGTGTGCCGCTGCTCATGGTGGTGGTGGTGGACCCGGCCAGATCCATGTGTTCCTGACTCTGAGTTGTGGGCAGTCTCGCTTTGTAGTGCCCCCATTTTTGGCACTGCACTGTGTTGGGTTGCCGGAACCGCTGTTGTGGGGTAGCTGGTGGGGTTGGTGGAAGCTGTCGAGGTGGTGCTGTTGAGCCGGGGGGATAGGTAGTCCCCATGATGGGCCTTACAATTGTCCTGGCTGGCACAGGTTTCTGTGGGCATCCAGGTATTCATGCGCTTTCCTGGCCGCTTCGGTGAGGGACGTAGGGTTGCGGTCCCTTACCCACTCTTGAATGTCTGTTGTGACCCCATCATAAAATTGTTCCAACAACAGCATTTGTAATAGTTCCTCCATGGACCGCACTTTGTTGGCTTGTATCCATTCCAGGGCTGCTCGATGTAGGCAGCAGGCCCATTCAGCGTGAGAGTCTTTCTCTGCCTTTTTCAGCTCCCTGAACAGCCTCCGGTACACCTCTGGTGTTATGGCATACCGGGCGAGTATGACTTATTTTACCCGACTGTAGTTGCGAATTTCTTCATCAGGCACTGTGTGGTACGCTTCTGTTGCTCTCCCTGATAGCCGACCTACTACGATGGGGACCCAATCTTCCGTATTGATTTTATGTAGGGCACACAGTCTTTCAAAGTGTTGGAGGAATGCGTCTATATCTTCCTCCGCCTCTAAGTATGTTTTAAAAGCCTGATAAGGTATTTTAGGCTTACCCTCCTGTATCCTAGTCAATGCTGGTCCTCTTTCTGGGGTTTGATGGCTCCTTTGTCGCAGTACAAACTCCTGGCTTGGAAGATTATATCCGCTGGTGGGTTTTCCTCATAAAATGACAGCCTGAATTGTAGCTGTCTTTAAAACTGCTATTGTTCCTGTTCATCAGTCGAACCGCTCTGTTCAGGAACCGAACCGCCATCCATTCGGTATTCCGCCATCACTTCTGTAACAAGAACAGCCTTTTTCTTGTTGCTGGCCGGAATACCTCTTGCTTCCAGAAGATCTTTTAATGTGGACCGCTTGAGGATAGAATAGTCAACCTCCATCCACAATCCATTGGTACTTGTTCCCTTGTGAGTTCTGGATCCCGCCGCTGCCAACCAATGTAGCGGAGCGCTAGTTCCACATAGGCTTTCTCCACTGATAATCCAAGAATAGCTCAGGAACAAGTAGTTAATCCAGTAAGGACAGCATAAGCAACAAATAAAACAATCTAAGAATATCCCATCACGACGACACACAGTATCAGGAGCAGAACTGATGTTTAATGCCACATACCCTGCTTTTATGCATCTCTCCCATACAAGGGAGACACTCACAGAAAAATGTACATTAGCCAATCATATACAGGTTACTGCCCACACATGCCCAGACAATACAATTAACTGAACAGTTTTCACCCACAATTTTCCCCATTTTCCAGATGTACCCCAAAGACATGACATACACCCCTAAATGATACATCCCCTGATAGCCCTGATCTGGCAACATACTCCAAAATCACTCAGATCGGATCAGGGGTTCAGGAATTTCCTGGAATTGTTCGTTTGACCGACCGCACATGACGCAATAGCCGAAAACAGTTCCATGTATTCTGGCCTTGCGATCGGTCTCCGTTCGGCTTGGCTGTCCCACCCTTGCACCCACCTCAGCCCCCCTGTACCCACTTCAGCACCCCTCTGTACCCACTTCTACTGACCTCACCCCCTCTCTGTACCCACCTCAGCTCGACACACCACATCTCTCCTTGCTCCCACCTCAGCCCCCTGTACCCACCTCAGCCCCCCGTGTTTCCACCTCAGCCCCTGTGTTTCCACCTCAGCCCCCCTGTTTCCACCTCAGTACCCCTTGTACCCACCTCAGCTCCTCCTCCATTCACCACATCTCCCCTTGCACCCACCTCAACCCCCTGTACTCACCACAGCTCCCCCTGCACCTACCTCAGTTCCCCTGCATTCACCTCAGCCACCATTCCTCCCTACACTATCCCTGTACCCACATAAGCCGCTATGCACCCACCACAGCCCCTATGCCACCTACACCTACCATAGCTCCTATGCCTTCCAGTACCCACCACAGCTCCTATGTCCCTCCCTGTGCCCACCACAGCCCCTTGTCTACCCGCACCCACCACAGCTCCTTCTGCACCTGTACACACCTCAGCACCCCCTGTACCCACCTCAGCCCCCCTCTGTACCCACTTCTACTGACCTCAGCCCCTCTCTGTACCCACCTCCTCCACACACCACATCTCTCCTTGCTCCCACCTCAGCCCCCTGTACCCACCTCAGCCCCCCGTGTTTCCACCTCAGCCCCTGTGTTTCCACCTCAGCCCCCCTGTTTCCACCTCAGTACCCCTTGTACCCACCTCGGCCCCCTTGTACCCACCTCAGCACACCTTGTACTCACCTCAGCCCCCTCTGCTCCCACCTCAGCCCCCCTTATTCCAACCTCAATTTCCTCTGCACCCACCACAGCCCCCTCTGCTCCAACCTCAGCTCCTATGTCCCTCTCTGTGCCCACCACAGCCCCTTGTCTACCCGCCCCCACCACAACTCCTTCTGCACCCACCTCAGCCCCCCTTTACCCACCTTAGCCTCCAGTCTCTCTGCACCAACCTCAGCCCCCTTGTACTCACCACAGCTCCCCCTGCACCCACCTCAGTCCCCCCTGAACCCACCTCAGTTTACCTGCACTCACCTCAGCCACCATTTCTCCCAACACCCACTCCAGGATCTACCTATACCTGTTCCCACCCAAGCCCCTATGCTCCCACCACAGCCCTTATGCCACCTCCAACTACTACAGCCCCTATCCCTTTCAGTACACACCACAGTCCTTATGTCCCCTCCTGCGCTCACTACATCCTCTATGTCCCACCTAATACTCTGTACAGCTTTGTGCTCACCTCAGTCCCCATGCTTCCCTGCGCCCACCACAGCCCGCATGCCTCCCTGCACCTACTTCAGCATCTATCCCCCACGCACACACTACAGCCACTATCTTACTTATACACAGTAGAGCCTCTATTATCCAAACATGCACACACTACAGCCCCAATAACAACCAGAGGCCTACTACATATTCTATCCCACACACTGCAACACAACCAGCCCTGTCCACTCACATACTGCACTGCAAATAGCCCCATTCATGCACGTAAAAACCCACTAGAAGCCTCACTGTATAGACACAATCCCACAAGCAACATCCCCACACATACAAAACAACATGCAGCCTTCCTACACATACACACCACAAACGGCATACTCACTATTGTAATACTGCACACAGCCTCCACACACACAATTATTACAATCACTTATATAGCGCCAACATATTCTGCAGCGCTGTACAATAGGTAAAACAAGAGAAATGGTTCATCGAACGCAACACTTTGACATACAGGAACACAACATCACTAGCAGAATCCCCACACACGCAACCCCACAAGTAGACTCCAAACACATGTGGCTACTTGTATGGTTGCACATGTGGGGGATGCTGCTTGTGATGTCCTCTGCAAAATCAGTGGAAGTGTGTAATTACATTTGCTTTATTTCTTTATTTTAATTGCTGGGGAGGCATGCCAGCAAGGGTTACTCCATCTAAAAACAGTGTTTATTAAAACACTGTTTTTGGTTGGAATAAACCCTTAAAAGTAAATCTGGCCATTTTTGGGTGCTCTGCGAGTGTGGGAGTCAGGGCTGTGTGGCTTTCACACAGCCATTCTGTACGCTGGGCAGCCTACACATAATATATTTGTGAAAGCAGCAGAAAAAAAGGGGGAGAAGAGCCTTGATCACCCACTGCCCGGGCCCAGTAAGTGGTCAGTCCACCCCTGATTACATTGTCTGCTAACCTTTAAGTCATCAGAAATAATTACCCCTAAATCCCTTTCCTCAGATGTTGAGGTTAGGACTCTATCAAATATTCTGTACTCTGCCCTTGGGTTTTTACGTCCAAGATGCATTATCTTGCACTTATCCACATTAAATGTCAGTTGCCACAACTTTGACCATTTTTCTAGTTTACCTAAATCATTTGCCATTTGGCTTATCCCTCCTGGAACATCAACCCTGTTACATATCTTAGTATCATCAGCAAAAAGACATACCTTACCAGACAGACCTTCTGCAATTTCACTAAGAAAAATATTTAAGAGAATGGGTCCAAGTAGAAATCCCTGGGGTACCCCACTGGTGACAAGCCCATGCTTCGAATATACTCCATTGACTACAACCATCTGTTGCCTGTCACTCAGCCACTGCCTTACCCATTCAACAATATTAGAATCCAAACTTAAAGATTGCAGTTTATTGATAAGCCTTCTATGTGCAACAGTGTCAAAAGCCTTACTGAAATCTAGGTAAGCAATGTCTACTGCACCACCATGATCTATTATTTTAGTTACCCAATCAAAAAAAATCTATAAGATTAGTTTGGCATGATCTCCCTGAAGTAAACCCATGTTGTCTCTGATCTTGAAATCCTGAAATCCATGTGATTTTAGATGTTCAACAATCCTATCCTTTAACATGGTTTCCATTACTTTCTCCACTACTGAAGTAAGGCTTACTGGCCTATAGTTGCCCGACTCTTCCCTACTACCTTTCTTGTGAATGGGCACAACATTCGCTAACTTCCAATCTTCTGGGACTACTCCTGTTAATAATGATTGGTTAAATAAATCTGTTAATGGTTTTGCTAGTACACCACCAAGCTCTTTTAATAACTTTGGGTGTATTCTATCAGGTCCCATTGACTTATTTGTCTTTACTTTTGACAGTTGAAATAGAACCTCTTCCTCTGTAAACTCACATGTAACAAATTACTAATTTATCATTTTTCCTAGCAGAGGCCCCTTTCCTTCATTTTCATCTGTAAATACTGAATAAAAATATTAATTGAGGCAGTCAGCTAAACCTTTATTCTTTTCCTTGTTTTACTTTCCTTTTCTCATTTATGTATCTAAAAAATGTTTTGTCCCCTTTTTTTACTGACTGTGCTATTTTCTGTTCTGTGTGTGATTTGGAAGCTCTTATAACTTGCTTAGCCTATTTCTGCCTAATCTTAAAGATCAGTCTGGTAAATTGAAAGCATTTTTGCTGGATGACCTTATTAGAAGATATTTCAGCAAACTGACCCAGAAGAGTGTGTTGTTTAGGTAATCGTGCCCTAGCTCTAACCATTATTGGGAACAAAGGCCTAAAGTTAGGAGTTTATAGTAAGAGATTAATCAATTGTTGAAGAATTCCTGGATTTTTATGCGGTTTAATAATGCAGACAATATCTTCATGTTTTTTTAATATTTAGATGGTTTTTATGTTTTTAACATTTGATATATGATTGTTTTTGAAAAGCTATAATTTAGACGTTAATCCAAGATTATTAAATTAAAGGATCACAATAGGGTCAGGAACACAAACATGTATTTCTGACCCTATAGTGTTAAAACCACCATCTAGCTCCCCTGGGCCTCTCATGCCTCCCTAAAAATAGCAAAATCTTATTTGTATTCAAGCCTGAAATTGTAGCTCTGCATGGTGTTTGACTCAGAATAGCAACCTGTCTGCTGACATCAGCAGAAGTGGTAGTCTGATTCAATCACAGTGCTTCCCCATAGGATTGGCTGAGACTGACAAAAAGGCAGATCGGGGGCAGAGCCAGCACAAGTCAAACACAGCCCTGGCCAATCAGCATCTACTCATAAAGATAAGATGAATCAATGAATCTCTATGAGGAAAGTTCAGTGTCTGCATGCAGAGGGAGGAGATACTGAATGTTTGGATGCATTTTAGGCAGCCATGACCCAGGAAGGACCCAGGAAGTGGCCAGTGAAGTTATCACTAGGCTGTAATGTAAACACTGCATTTTCTCTGAAAAGACAGTGTTTACAGTAAAAAGCCTGAAGGTAATTATTCTACTCATCAGAACAAATTAAATAAGCTGTAGTTGTTCTGGTGACTATAGTGTCCCTTTAATTAATAGGGATTATTAAATCGAGGTTAAAGTTTAGGAACCAAGTTTTATTGGGAATTATCTCCATAAGCATATGTTAAAATTATGTACAGACTTACTCTGTCAGTCACTTGCTAGAGAAAGCGTTTTAGTACTCATCCTGTCCAATCAAACCTTTATGTAAAGTGAATGCTTTTCTAATTAATATAAAACTGTTCTGCAAATCTGAGAGAGGTACATGTTACACCAGTTAAGGGTTTAACTTTAAGTTTTGATTTGACTAGGTAATTGATTAATTGATAATGATAAATGTATCCGGTTAAGAATTATTCATGTCGTATTGATCCATGTGTCTGTATGATTGTAGAGACCGTCCTGAAGTGCTTGTGCCGCCAGATTTTTTGGGACCTGTTCACCTATCTCTCTCCTCTGGCTGACCGTACACTAACTATTTTGCAATTGCGTCTGCTTGGCAAAACAACTCATGCAGGCCGAAGAAATGGAAGATGCTTACTTATGAGAACATAAACTTTGCACACGAGTATCAGGAAAGGGCTGTCTAATGCCGCAAGTTCTCTAATAACCCTTTCAACAATTGGGGTGTTGCACAGAGCATTGTGGTGAAAATCCAGCAGCTAAAAGCTAGTACTGAAAAATAATTATGTGAAAGATGACATTGCCTTGTTGTCGGTCATCTTGCTGCTATTAGCCATTCTTATGAAACAATTTATGGTGTCAAAAATTATTTCCTTATATTCTTGAAAGACTTATTTTTTTCATTTTCTTAACCATGCTGAACTACGGAGACTGAACTATTTTGCTATTTTTTTTAATTTTTAATTTTGTAGAGTTAGCCGGAGAGAGGAAGAGTTAGCTGGTCTAGAGACAGATGTAGAATATATGTTTTTGATGTATGTTGAGTGTGTTAAAGGACCACTATAGGCACCCAGACCACTTCAGCTTAATGAAGTGGTCTGGGTGCCAGGTCCATCTAGGATTAACCCTTTTTTTTTTTGGCTTGCATCATTGTGATAATTTGATTGGACATTAAGATCAGTAGGTTATTTGGGAGGAATAGCAAAGAAGGGACTATTGAGAATTATTCCTGTTATTCTACTTTTTGTCGCTATGTTTTCCTTTGTACAATGAATGAAATTATTATCTTTCTATTAATGAAATCCCTCAAATAATGATATGAAGGATTAACTAGGCAACATTGAAAGAATTGTTGCACATTTGGTAATTATTTTTTCCTCTGCGTGTGTAATTCATTCTAGTTAAGTGCTTACGGAAACCCTTTAGACTTATATTACTTTTTTACGCTGGTACCTTGGCGTCCAGGGCTCCCTGTTTGGCCCCGCCCTATTTCAAGGTATATGCATTTAGGGTGGGGTGATTGTAGCTAGAGTTTTGGGCACAGGTTACCCACTTAAGACTTTAGACCACAACATCATTAAACTATACCTTAACCCGCTTTGGGAATGACATGTCTGTCAAGTTTTCTCCATTGTGAGTTTTTCCTGGACCAGATCACCAGGCAGACAAGGTAATCCTTGTTGACAGAGGAGGGAAAGGTATTATTCCCAATGGGTATTATGTGTTCACAATTTGTTACATGGGTATTGTAAACAACCGGAGGGGTTGATGGGAAATTCATTGTTTTACCTATGCAATGCTTAGTGAATATTCCCTTAGACGTACAGCGCTATAAAGAAATATATACAGTAACCTATGGATGTATTGCATACTGAGACGTGGATTTAATAACATATATTATCCTGTAGCAACAGATATCTGGACAAGCATCCCTTGATGGCTCCTTTGGTGAGAAATGGCAAGGAAATCGAGGTGAAGAATTAATCAAAAGTCCCACAGGTGTAATTAGTATACCTGGATATACCTTGTCTAAAAGAAACTCTCACCTGGGGTGGCAGAAAGGGTAATTATCATAGATAAAGCTACATAATGGGTTGAAAGCCTTTTTTTCTTAGTTAAGTCTTTCCGCGTCTGCAGGGGTTAAAAGCAAGATTTTTCTCTCTTGGCTGCAATCGGTACTCCCTATTTTTCTCAGGGCAAGCTGACACAGAGAAGATAACCTTCGCATAGTTTAGAGAAGACGTGCTAGACATGCGCAGTGGATTTCCTGTAATACATAATGTTACATGAGAAAATTATACTTTTTTCACTGGACGTCTATGATTTTTTGATATTGTCTTCTGTTGGATACACCCCTATGAAAACTGTGTTTCATATATAGACGGTACCCGCATTAGAAAAGCCACTATTTTTCTTGAACTTCATAATGACTGGTGTACATTAATTGTTCTCTGCAGTGAACATACAAAAAGATTAAGGAAAGCAGGATGTGTTAACTGCATAAGTCGATGGCAACGTAAGAGTTTAAGACTCTGTAAAAGTTGCAGCCTAACAAGACCTGTGCCGGTTAATAATTTATAAATTAGGAATATAGGGGAGAACTAGAGAAAACCCTCCCATGGGGAGGGTTCTATTGGCCTATATAAGAGAGTAGGCGTCTATGCCCCCTTTGTGATGGAATGCTATGCTGGATTTCCAGCTCATCTTGCTGTTCCACACGCTGCTCCCATATGCAAAAAAAAAAAAAAGACTCTAACTGAATGGCCTCTAGAGGGGAGGCAGGCCAGATGACAGACATGGAGCACCTCCCATTCCCTGTAAGCCACAACCCACATAGAGCGGCTGCAGTGGCTGGCGGGTGAGAAAGTTGGAAGGCCCACCAGCATTACAGAGGCACAGACTATTTCCTGTCCATTGCCACCAGTGTTAAAACAGGATGTGATATGAGCTCTGTCATCTCAGCCTTCATTCACCACATTACAGACATACCCCGCTTTAAATACACTCACTTTAAGTACACTCGTGAGTACAGACATTCCCACGCCTCTTCTGTCCGCGAGTGAACAGGAAATGGAATGTTATATTCTCGCCCGGAGTAGCTCAGTTCAGTGTCTTTGGGGCAAGAACTTTTCACACCTTCTGACATGGCACAGGTTAATCATCTCAAATTTATAATGTCTACTCCTAGCTGAACATGTACATATTTTTCTGACCCTACATTGTCCATATTCTGCAATCTGCTGCCATCCAGTGAAAGGGTTTACTCTGCCACTGGAAATCACTAAATAAATCACTTGACTGCTGACCCCAGACCAAAACTCCCACCACCCGTTGCCCAATAAATACACAACACCTTCTTTATGGGTAAGGGCAACGGCCACAGCTTTATTAACAGAATTAACATCGATTATCACCAGCGTCCACAACCTGTCAGCTGTTGGGGGATTACCAACAGACAGCTCTATCAAAAGACCCACGAGTCCAATGCAGCCTGCCCCCGCCATCAGCTCTCAGCAGGCTGTGACTCCCCAAGCCGCTTGGGCACTTTCTTCCAAACCTCTTCGCTGGCCAGGACTACCGCGAGCTGTGACAAAACAAAGAAACAACAGCACACAACCAACAACAACACCATCATAACACACGTTTTGTGGGTGGGTGGGCGGGAAGCTAGCAACACTACACCTCTGCCCAGGAACTGGTGAGTACCCTCCCCTTTTTCCCCATCTTAATGTCCCCCCATGTGTAACAATGTATCCCCTTGTGACCCAACCCCTTATCCCTGCCAGCAGTCATGTCCTCCCTTCCTTAAGATGTCCAGGGAGGTACTTGACTGCTGACCCCAGACCAAAACTCCCACCACCCGTTGCCCAATAAATACACAACACCTTCTTTATGGGTAAGGGCAACGGCCACAGCTTTATTAACAGAATTAACATCGATTATCACCAGCGTCCACAACCTGTCAGCTGTTGGGGGATTACCAACAGACAGCTCTATCAAATGACCCACGAGTCCAATGCAGCCTGCCCCCGCCATCAGCTCTCAGCAGGCTGCGACTCCCCAAGCCGCTTGGGCACTTTCTTCCAAACCTCTTCGCTGGCCAGGACTACCGCCACCGCGGTTCCTCCCTACCTACTCCCCTGGGAGGGACCGCGCCCCCCCGCAGCCAGCGCCTCCTCAATACCTGCCTGAAGACCCGCATTCAGGATATCCAATCCTATGAGGGAAAGGTGCACCCCATCCTTCCGCATCAAGTCGGAATTGTCCCCTTCCAGCTCCCTGTGCCTAATGACAAAACCACCAATCCGGCGGACAAATTTTCCGATGGCCACGTTGAGCCTGCGCCTACTACGCTCCACGCCCTTAGCATGCGGCAGCGAACGCCAACGCGGCCTGGACACTATGTCCGACCAGATCAGGGTCAACTCGGGGAAAAGAGCCATACACCGAGCCAGATCGTGTCTAATCGCATGCAGGAGGTCCACTGACCTACTGCGCCCCAGGTCATTTCCCCCTGCATGAATTACTAGGGTTACTGGCCCCGACACGTACCTACGAAGGGATACGCACTCCGAATACAGCTGCTGCCACAACATACCCCTAATGCCCCTCCACCTTACCCTGGCTATCTCGTAGGAAAAACCCAAATTCCTCCCGTATGGACGCTCCTCAGCTCGCCGCGCAGCCCAATAAACGTAGGAATGTCCCAGTATCCAAATGCAGCGGGGCCGAGGACCTACGGAGAGATTGCATTATAGTAAATGAGGTCTGACATAGGACCTGTAGCGCCGTGAACCCCATCTACCCAAGCGCTGAATCGCTGCGATCTATGAGAAACCCCACAAACTAGCCTGGGTGGCCGCCCCTATCCGAAAAGAATGAGTAGAATAATGGCGAGGATTCACCCCGCATGCAACCAAGGCAGCACGGAACCTAGCTGAGAACTGATAACGTGTAAGGGGGGACCCATCCCTATGAACCAGAAAAGAGAGGCACCACATCGGCCGAATCTGCAAATACTCTGAGAAAAGACGGACCGGACAAAACCTGCCTCTCGTGGCACCGATACGCACCCATGAACCCCTACCTACCTGGTCTGTCTTGGAACGCCGTATGCATACATCCACGTAGTCCTCGGACCACCGGATATCCGCCATGAGCAGCGGCCCCACCGCCCAACGGTTGCGTGCCACCAACTCGCCCACCCTAAAAGCTCCAAAAAAACAAAAAGCAAATGCAATCCGAAATAATGAGGCTTCATAGTCTGAGAAACAAACCGCCCCCATAGCCGCCAGGATCCGTCCCAGCAAGTCAGCCGACACCGGGAGGCGGCGGTCCGGGGTCCTTCTAAGTCTCCAACCCCGAATAACCCGCTGTATACCGAACCACCGAGAAACGTCTTGCCAACCCATAGACCGACAAAGAAAGGATAGGGCGCTCAAAGCCTTCTCGGCCGCAGAACAAGACTTACCCTGCGCAAACATGGACTCCAACAGTAGCAGAGTCGCCTCCAAGCGCCCGGACTCCGACCCCAGCATCAGGTCCTGCGAAAACGAGGACAGCCACCTCCGCCAGACGGCTTGATATGCATTCCAGGTAGCGTCAGCTAAGGAGTCCGACACCAAGCTCCTCAATCCTCCAAATCGATCTCCCATAAGGAAACCGGACATCGGATACCCACAGCCTCCGCGGCTGGCGCCGACTCCCGAAAACGGTCCCACTGAAACCGAGAAAGAGAGTCAGCTACCACGTTGTCAACACCCGGGACATGACAAGCTCTAATCCAAACATTGAACTTTAAGGAAAGAAGTACCAACCGTCGCAGTAGCGCGAGAACAGGAGGGGAACTGGAGGTGGAACGGTTTATCACATGGACAACACTCATGTTGTCCGTGTGAAAAACAACAGTCCTGTTGGCCAAAGCCTCCCCCAGAGCTCCAGAGAAACAACAATGGGAAACAACTCCAAAAACGTCAGGTTACGCATAACATCCAAACCCCGCCATCGAGTTGGCCATACCTCCGCGCACCACTTACCCTGAAAATATGCCCCAAAACCCACGGAGCTGGATGCGTCCGTGAAGAGGTTCAACTCCGAGTTAGACGCAGCCTCCAGCAACCAGCAGGAGCGTCCATTGTAGCGCTCCAAAAAGGAGCTCCAAACTTGGAGGTCCGCGCGCAGACGCCGCGTGACTCGGATAAAATGAAAAGGCTCCCGAACCCCTACCGTGGACAAGGAGAGGCGCCTGCAGAACGCACGTCCCATTGGAAGAACTCGGCAAGCGAAGGCCAAGTGCCCCAGAAGCACCTGCATTTGCCGCAACTGCACCTTCCTCGCCCCTCGAACCAGGTCAATCGTCCGCAAGAGAACCGACACCTTCTCTTCCGGCAGCCTAAAAACCATACCGACAGAGTCGATCTCAATCCCCAAAAACGACAAAACCCGAACCGGGCCCACCGTCTTAGCCTCTGCAACGGGGACTCCGAAATATCCCATGACAGCCCGAAACGTTTGCAAAAGACGCTCACACTCACCCGAATCCGGAGGGCCAACGAAAAGGAAGTCATCCAAGTAGTGAGTAGCAGACACCAAACCTGCCTCCTGTAGCGTTACCCATTCGAGAAAACAGGAAAACATTTCAAAATAAAAACAAGAAATAGAACAACCCATGGGCAAACACATGTCGTAGTAAAAAACCCCTTGAAAAAAAACAGCCTAGCAAGTGAAAACAGGAGGGGTGAACTGGCAACAGACGGAAAGCCGATGCTATGTCAGATTTTGCCAACAAAGCACCTTGACCGGCCCGACGAACTAATTCCAAAGCCCTATCAAATGATGCATATCGCACGCGACAGATGTCCTTGCCAATGGCATCATTTACCGATTCACCCGACGGGTAGGATAGGTGCTGGATCAAACGAAAGGAACCTGGGTCCTTTTTGGGAACCAACCCCAGAGGGGAGACCCTCAGGTTAGGAAAAGGTGGCGCACTAAACGGGCCAGCCATGCGACCCGCCTGCACCTCCACCTGCAATTTTTGCTGTAAAATATCTTCTTTGCCCTTAACCGAGCGGAGATTGTCCGCGAACTGAGGGAAAGAAGAGGGAACAAAGGGGATCCAGAAACCTACCTGAAAACCATCAAACAATGTCTGAGCATCGCGACCCCTATGATACCGGGCGAGCCACGGGAGCATCCTTAGGGCGTCCACCGGCGTCCTCTCCCCTAGGTACGTCATCTCGAGAGGGACCCTTTCCCGAAACTGGCTTCCCCTTACGGAAGCAGCGCACCGCGGGGTGGGCTCCCCCGCAGTGTGCACACTCATGGCGGAACCTGCAGGAGCTATACCAGCGGCAGTGGCTCTCATTAAAGAGCCAACACACACCTTTCCTCTGCCCTGCAGAGGAGCCGGAGTTACCTCCGGCAGGCCCGGGAAAGGGGGATGGTCTACTGGGAGTCATAAGTAACAGCCATAGACTGCCATCCTGCACGGCGAAATCCATACCCGGGCACACCGCCATCTTTTGTCGGAATTGCTGGTCATAGCGATACCAGCATTGCCCGCCATACATTTTGTAGGCCCCCCAAATCAGATCTAAGTACCCGAACAGGGCCGGAGCCTTATCTGGGAACCGGCGCACTAGGATACTGGCAAATATGTTAAACCCCTGCAACCAATTACCAAAGGTTCTGGGTATCTGCTTACCTTTTTCCGCCTCTGGTACCTCCCCACGGCGTGGTCTGTCCACTGAATCCTTGTCGGGAGAGACCAAAGACAGCAGATCCACATACTCACCTCTGCAAATCTTCTCTTGCACGTCCATAGGGACATGCAAACCTAACGGTGCAAGATCACATCCCACACCGGCACGAAAAGCCCCTGCGGCAGGCTGAGCCCTAAGGGTTTGAGAACATCCCTGCGGCTGACCCTCAGCCAGCCCTGGGAGACCCTGTCCCTGAACCTGTCTAGTATCCAGCCCAGTAAGATGGGAAGGGAAAGTGGCCACTAGGGTCCTAAGCAAGCGCAAGCACTCACTAGCCTGATCTTGGGCCCCAGTCCCTGGCACGCCGGCGCCATGTAACCACTCACCGGACCGCTGGGGAACTGCAGGCACCGAAACCTCCTCCTCTTCAGAACCAGAATCCGACCAAGGGCTCCCAGGGACATCTGCAGCTGGACCTGAGGTGTGCTCCCTCGCCCGGAGTAGCTCAGTTCAGTGTCTTTGGGGCAAGAACTTTTCACACCTTCTGACATGGCACAGGTTAATCATCTCAAATTTATAATGTCTACTCCTAGCTGAACATGTACATATTTTTCTGACCCTACATTGTCCATATTCTGCAATCTGCTGCCATCCAGTGAAAGGGTTTACTCTGCCACTGGAAATC